AAAAAACAGCCTTCAATTAAATAAACGTAGAAGTATCAACAGAACTAAACAAGATGTAAATTTTGCTTCAAATGAAGCATCTTCTGCCATGCAGTTACATTAAATAAGCTTGATAAATCGATATATAGTCAGACTTCCCTAAATGCAATGCGACGGGACCATATATAAAAATTTAGTCAAATGTGCACTTAGAGAGCTATTGCATTTAGGGAGGTAAAAATCTATAGATGTAATATTAGTTCGGCCCAATAGAAGACGTGCATTTAGGGAGGTGTTTCATAGGACGTGCATTTAGGGGTAGCATTTAGGGGGTCTGACTATATTAGTTGGACAAGAGAAGACATGCATTTAGGAAAGCGTTCTATAGAGTGTGCATTTAAGAAGGTTGCATTTAGGGGTAGGGATTGGAACCGCCTAAAATTTTTCTTAATCGTTTAATCGTTTAACCGTTTAACCGTTTTACCGTTTAATTTGGCCAGCATTAAAATAATTCCAGCTCACGACCAACATAATTCCGCCCGGAACTATGGAGCAATTTTTAAACGGTTAAACGGTTCCAATCCCTATTTAGGGGTCGCACTGTACTATGAATATATGATATATAGTGCTAAGTCACTCTACTTGTATTCATCCTAGGTCCTGAGAGATTCCTTCAAGATCTAACAAGAGCAATAAGGCTTTAAACCAGCATGAATAACTTTTAAGACTTTTGCATTTACTTTTTGTTTATGTTTTCATTTGTAAATTGTCAAAATATTATTCCAGATGGCCGAATACAACATTCAAGTGCTATAATCAATTCTAAGCTTTATTTTTTCGGTGGAGCAACGAAAACTACAAACTCCTCTAATGAAGTATTTTATCAAGTAGATTTAATACATCTTTACCCCCGTTCAAAACTTCTACTGAAATGCCAGTTGGAAATAATTTAGCTACTTCATGTGCCAGTACAATTGATAATACAACAATTTTTCTGATCGGAGGAAGAATGAATTCAACTTCTTCAGCAGTATACAAATTTGATTCTATAAATTCGCAATGGAAGATACCAGAAATTAATTGATTTAATAATTCTTTTATTAAACGTAACGAATTTCAGGCGGTATTGATAATAATGGAAAAATTTATATACTTAGTGGGACTGATGCTGATTACACTAATGGATTTTCTTCTGCGATTGGCAACTTATTTTATGATATGAATTTATTTGATACTTCATCTATGACGTGGGTAACACTCATTTTACCTGCAAACATTAATCCTCGGATTGATTTTACAGAAACATTATTGACAACCGGCCTTATTATCTATATTGGCGGTGAATATAAATTAACACCATCATCAAAGTTTTCTCATGTTCCTATGAACGATGTATTATTATTATTATTGTTATTTATTTGTCAATTTATTTAGCATAATAATACGAATTACTAACAAAATTATACAAATTTAGATCCTTATATTTGATATAAAATCCTTAAGCTGGTCTAATAAAGTAATACACATAATTCTAAGTTGTTTCATATTATAAAAAAATTTGTTAACTATTAAATTTACCATATTCAATTTATCACATTTAAGACAGCTAGTGGTGTTTCTATTCAATCTCGTGTTGGACACTCCGCAGTTCTAGGTGAGAATAAGCAAATATAGACATGCTGTGTTGAAATACTATTTTTCAATTACATTGAAATAAATTTAATATCCTTTTATTCAGGTGAAGATGGAAATATTATCATTTATGGAGGTTCAAGATTTCGTTTTCAAGTGTATCCTGATCTTGCAATTTTAAATACGAATACCTGGATATGGTCTATTCCTAATATTCCTGCAGCAAATTCTCCACCATCACTAAACCGCCACACTGCGAATTTATATGGAATTTACATGATAATTGCATTCGGTAAATATCATGCTTAATGTTAAAAATTTTGGTTAAATTTTTATCAAAGTTCATGTAATTTTTTTTAAAATTAGGTCGAAAAACCGAATCTGAAAACAAAACATCACAAATATATGAGAATAATATTTATATTTTTAATATGGAAACTTATTCATGGGTCACGTCATTTGATACATATAATAAAATAAGCCAAGGAACTCCAAAAAATAATGATGAAGAGTCACAAAATAAAAATGATTCAACAAAACAGATAATTTTACCTGTTGTGATAAGCATTATTGGGATAATTTGTTTATTCTGCACTGTCTTGTTTTATAAAAAGTATCGCAACAAAAATACTAAAAGCATTCCAACACCCGGTGATAATGCAAATTATAAAGAAACATGCGACAATGAAGTCATATAATGCCAACATCGGTCAATAAAAAAGTTTGCTGGTTAATAATAGGTATCTCAAGCATATGAATAAGTCAAATAGTCTAATCTATTAATTAAGCTTGTTATATGTAGCTATTTGTTTTTCCAGAATAATATTATATTTTTAATATTTTACAAGACGCTGAACTTCTCATTCAACGATGAGTTCAGCATAGCGGGCTTTCATTGTGATTGGCCAGTTCTTGTAGATCATCCCGTGATATAGTAAAAATTTTATTGGTTA